AAACATAAAATAATAACCAAGAAAGAAAATCTATGATCCATGCTCATCTAATTTAAATATTCCAAGGTTATGCTAAATTTTGCAAAAGAAGAAATTAAACATGGGCAGGGAACTTAGTAACATGAAACAGCTCAAGAGTACTTTGTTATTGGGGCATCAAACCAGGCCCCACTGTCAGTGAATTAAAGCAGTAGATGCAATGGAAATTTTCCATTTTAACTTAACAGGCTTGAAACCGGTAATTACAGAAGAACTGTATTGACAAAAATAAATTTTCCTCTCTATTTATTATTAAAAACTTTAAAACATCTTTCATTAATAATTATAATACAAGCACATATATGATGTGTATTCTGAATATTTTATATTGAATTTTAACGGGCAGAAATTTAATTTCCCTGTCACAACCTGCTCATTTTCTGTAACAAAATGAGTTAATTTGGTAACCAAACTTAGAATGCATGTACATAAAACACTAGCAGGTCTCCATGGACACAAATACACCTTTACAAGAAGCTCAGATCTCACCATTTTGCTCACTGTGACAACAGCATATGTCTCATTTAGTGATCAGTGGAAAAGATAGGTGGGATTTTATTGTGAAAAGCCATTTGGGAATGCTTGACAGCTGTGTAGAAAAGAGCTTTACAAATCTTTGTGAGAAGACTGTCTCAGAGGAAGAGCGATATTGTTTGGAATTTTTCTTTGTGCCATTTGTTTCAAATACATGTTATATATGGTGTAGCCATTGATATATGAAAAATGGAGCAGCATGCTAAAACTAATAATTTCACATTTAATGAGTACTCTTCTAACAATAACAATTAGCTTCAAGGAACAAAGAAATCTTTGACTGCAAATCCATAGGTCACAAAGGACAGGTACTAAGAGACCGCAAGATCCTTCAAATGCTTACATTACTCTTTTATGTAATAAGATAATACAGTAATGATGGTATGGTACAAAGGAACTTTAAAAAGTGCATTAACTTGCAAAAGCCATTATGAAACAAATGAGATCTATGTAGTATACTAAAAGGTGTCTAAATAGAGTTTATATGACACTTCAAGGGCCCAATCTCAGAAAAGTAACCTGGGCAGTAAGATAAGCTAGTAGTTGATGAAACACCGATAGCTGTGACAGTCTCCCTGCTACTCTCTCAAATTCTGTAGAGAAGAAAGCAGATATATTAGTATATATCAGGTGAGGTCAGGTCAAAAGAAAACTACAAACTCAGTATATGGCTGTCATTCTCTTGCAGCACTTTGTTATCTAAGAATTAACAGGATCTTTTGTTCTAAATGTAGGTAACAATCTGATTAAAGTAGGTCATATAAAATAAACTAAGCAACAGAAAATTCAGACAAACCCTTGACATTTTAAACTTCAATAAAGGAATAGGGTTAGACTACCCTCTAGTGGAAGTTCAAGAGAATTCAATAAATCATTTTCACACATTTTAGTAGTTTTATGATGAAATACACACTGTGGTTATTACACAGAATGAAAAAGTGTACAGAATCTGGATGAGAACATTCCATCCATCCTTACACACTGTCTTTCAATGCAGAGTACTACATTGTTCATCTCATCACATTTCATGCTGTGGTTTTGCATTCTAAACTATTGGGTTGTCAGAAAAGTCATGACGCATTTTTGTAATGGGAAACGTAGAAAAAATACATCGACTTTTCCGACAACCCAATATTTTGAAGGACAAGCTAAATTGCATAACATCCATACAAACCCTTCTGTCACAGAACAATGGATTTGTAAATGGGTAAAGGCTAGAGAGACTCCCACTAGAATGTCAGCATCCTGATGGCAGGTGCCCGGTTTTATTCACTGCTGTATCTCAGAGCCTGCAAACAGTGCATGGTATCCAGCAGATGCCTGATATGTACTTGGCGCTGTGCTGAGTGTTCTACATCTGTCATCCCCTTCAACCCTCCAAATACCCTAGGAGGCAAGTACTCTTATCCTCCTTCTGCAGTCTCACAGTCAGGAAGTTGTGGAACTGGGATCCAAACCCAGATCTGCAAGATAGTTCATTGCCCTTATTTTCCAGTTCCCAGAATACCTTTGTCATTTCTTTTTTAAATGACAAGCCTTAACAGTAAGTATCTACATGTATTACACAGGCTTTTGTAAGCTAAGTGGATCACACCCCATTTTTAAAAAAATGAATGGATTATTCATCCTTACTTAACAATTCCTGAGGGATTAAGTAATCAGGCATCATATTTTAGCCATAGGATAAAAGCATCATCAAAGGTCCAAACTGTTCACATCATACAAGGCCTTTACTCTTTAATAAGGGAAGACCCTCCAGAGAGCACAGCAAGACTAGAAGTCTGGCAAATGAAGGGGTTGACTGGATATGGTATTAGATCCGACAGTGAAGCACTAAGAAGTTCAAAGAAGTTAAGGGAATCCTGTGACTAAATATAGGGCAATTACTAGTTTCTTCTAAGTTATTTTTATTTTTTATTATTGCTTGACTATTTAAGTCTTGTAATATTATATCAAGGTATTTAGGTTATGATAAGAGATATTTTGAGGCTACCAAAAAATAAAAGAATCCAGTATATGAGTGAAAATTCAAAACACTAAGTGTATCTAATATCTAAGAATGATACATAAATTCATTAAAATGAATTAATAAAATATGTTGATGATATGGATAGGTTTATACAACCTATCCAACCAAATTTGGCTTCAAGATACTTTCCCACTGTAAAGAAAATCAGCACCGATTCCAAAAAGTTTAAGTTGCTTATCTAGAAGTCTCACTATTTCAAAACACCATTCTATGAGCTCGTTCTCGGAGAACAAATACTAGGCCTCTGGAATTCCAGTTGTGACTTGCAATCTTCTACAGTTAGTCATTCATTACTAAGTATAAATATCATGCAAATAACAGCAACAGATTAAAATGCAAAGGTAGCATGTATTTCAAATCCTAATGATAATTCAGATTGGCAATAAATATAAAAACCAACCATCTAGATTTCAGAGGTATCTTCTAGGCAAACTGAATTAACTTTCCAAAAAGAGCTCTATATAAGTTAGACATAGACTTGAAAAATACATATATGATTCAAATTATTTGGAAGTGATTATCTGTTCAGAATAGTAGTTCAGAGAATCCTTTAGCTTTAATTTGTCACTGGTGGTTGATGTTCTCAGATTAGCAAAGACAGAGAATTCAAGTGAGAATTGGGGAAGCCCACCTCACTCATTTAAGAAGCCATGATGCAATTTCTAAAGAGAAAGGTTATATCCCTAAATATCAAACTTTTTTCAGGATATTAAAACCCTAATTGAGAATGAAAATACAGTATATTCTAATTTAATTAAGACATATAAACTGCATTTCCTAAACAGAATTAATTATGAAAATAATTAGAATTTTGGGAAAATGCCAATCAGCAGAGTGGTGTCAAACAAAGAACATCTATAAACAGAATTTACTCTTAGCTGGGGAAAAAAAGAGCGGAGGTTATCATGGAAGAATATCTCTGCAAAGAAATACACAACCAATGAAAAGCAACCAACTCAAAAAGATGCAGGAAGATAAGCTAAAAGAGAGTGGGTGAACAAAAAATCCTAAGTATCTTGGAGGCTGTTTCCATCAGTTAGTTATCAAAGGCTTGATAAGGGTCATGCCTATACCTGCAAGAAGGGAAAAATGCAGAGGGCGACCACAGCTATTTCACATTTCTCCTGAGACCCAGGATGTCTTCTCCAGGCCCTACCTTCAGAAATAACAAATCACTGACACGAGAAAACTTTTTAACAGCCAGACCTTAAAGAATACAGCTCTTGAGGCCTACTGACAGCTGTCACCCTAACTGCTTTATCCCCCATCGGGACATCATCACTGTGGTTGGGATCCTGGATCCACATCCTAACTGTGTGACCCTGAGCAAGTCATAACCTCTCCAAGCTTTACTTTCCTTATCTGTAAAGTGGGATGATCAAAGCTACTTTTGTAAGGTTCTTATAAGGATTAAAGACAATGTTTGTAAAGCACCGAACAATCTCTGACACATAGTAGGTGCTATAAATATTAGCTGTTATCAGCAACAGCATGCCAAATACCACTCAGGTAACTTTATTCACACACAAAAAACTGTTTTATGATTTGCTAATTACTTGTTTTATAAATCAGTTTTGTTTTGCTTTAAAAAAAAAAAAAGGTAATATTGAAAAACAGGAAGAGAAGATAGGGTATTCTTACCTTCTTACCCATAAGATTAGATCAGGTTATTACATTAGCTTAAAAAGTTTATCTCATGTGTAGATAGCTCCTACCTCTCACTTCACTAGGACCTTAAGCTTGGTTAGAAAATAGTAAGCCACAATATTATCCTAAGATATGGCACTGTCAAACATAAAAGTTAATTTTTTTGAATATAAACCCAAGAAATAAAGATTGTCAGCATAATTCATTGCAGTAACTCACTAAAAAAAAAAGAAATGTCCACACGATATAAATTTAGCTGGACTGTTTGATCTCTCATCAGTTTGAAGGGGGGAAAGCATACTGCAAGATGTGAAGCTCTAAGCAGACCTGATTTTTAAAGCAACAGTTTCCAGAGTATATACTATAGTCAGAACAAAGTCACCCTAGTCCCTTGTATTTCCTACATGTATACTTTTACACAGAGATCTAATGTCACAAAAGCAGCCCCGAGTCACTGTGAGAATCAAGTCACTGTGAGAATCAACAAAATTATAATTATCTTTCCTAAGCTGAGCTGAGCTAAGGCAGAAAGTTAGTGGCCTATTTTAGAAATTATTTCTATACTTTAAATCATTTTCTGTCTAATCCTCAGTTAATCAGAGTATGATATTAACTAGAACTCACTACTTTCCAAAAAACCGTGTAAACTAAAAATTTAATGTATTCTTAGAAAGCTTTGAAATTATACCACGTCTTGTCCAAATTATTTTCATTCCTAAAACTGATGTACAGATATAAACATAAAACTTACTCAGATTTGCTGTGACGGATCCTAAGTCTGCTATTAAACCCGGAAGCTGCTGAAGCTGCTCCTGTAAGTCTATCAGGCTCGTCTTCTTTTTTTCCCAGTGTGCTGACAGCATAACCACCTTGCTATCCACCTGCTGCAACACAGAAGAGGAAGGACAAAGTAAAACCAGATTTCAGGCACAAAGAAATCATAGCTGGCACAATTAGAGTTGGTTAATGCTGTCTTTAAAAACCCCTCTTCTGAGTATAGACAGGAACACTGAAGTTGTTTTCTTTCTTAGAAAAGAACCAACTTAATATTCAGTGCAGAAAACCTCAAATTACTGCTTGTCTCAGTGCATCTTAACCCAGAGAAGACAAAGTTCAGAAATGACCTTAGAAATCACTTCTAAGTATACCCTATTTTTTAAGTAAATCCCATATTTGAAAACCCAAATTTAAGAAGAATAAAGCAAAAAGCTACCATTAACAACTGAAAAGAAAACAAACAAAAACAAACCAAAACATAATTACTGGGTAATTATTTGCTTTACGAAAAGGAATTCTTTTAGCAGAAAATTTCCCTAACACATTTAGAATATACTATGATTCAATTTACATTTAACAGGAACAGTCAATCCATAAGGTAAAGGGTACTTATACATGAAGGCATTATTGAGGTAATTGATCAATTCCAGAAAGAAAAGAAAAGGGCTAATGTTGACAAAGAAGGAATTCAGATGTAAAAGATTCTTAATAGCAGGGTGCTGAGATACTAAAGTAGCCTAACATAATTCTAACTTCTTTCCCCCTGAAGACTGTAAAGAAAATGACAGGCATCAGTTTCTCCCAGACAATTTTGTTTTGGTCTTAACATGGTGGGAGGGGAAAGAGCCTAGAATAAGATTTAGAAGGAGCAAGGAGCGGTCATCTTTTCAAACATCACCAGTGATATGCAAGAACTGTGAAAGATACCCACACATTAGAATAATAAATACATAGATGGCAAAATTCATTACATAACAGAAAAAAAAGTACATCTGAATTTTTTATATAAACCAGAGTTCACAGTTAAGTTATATTTTTAAAAAAGACAATTTATATATCCCAAGATTTAGAGTCTACACAAGTTGAAACATGAACACAACTGATTCTTACTGAATCTCACTAAAATAAGAGCTTTAGAAGAATAAAAATATTGAAAAAAGATGTAAAATTATTTGTACATGGTGCTAGATTGTGTGTTTCTACATTTCAATATCTAGGGAATTTACAACATTGAAATAAAAGAACTAAGCTACAATAAAGGTTAGAAAGCCGCTCAGTTTCCTCATTGTCTCCATCTCCCACACCTTCCCCCCCACTTTTTTTTATTATTAGTTTCAGGTGTACAGAACAATGCGATAGTTACCTTTTTCACCCCTCACAAAGTAACAACACCCTTCCCCCATCCACTGCCCTCCCACCCCCAATATTATACTTATATGTTACAATTCCATTGACTCCATTCCCACACTCTACTCCACATCCTGTGACTATATGTATATATAATTATAGTTGACATACAATATTATTTAACATCAGCTTCAGAAATACAGTGCGGTGGTCAGGCCTCCACACCGTCTATGAAGTGGTCTCCCTAACAAGACATGAGTCCATCTGGCACCGTAAGAAATATTTACAACATTATTGATTATATTCCCCAGCCTGTCTTTTCTATCCCTGAGGCCATATTGTAGTTCCCCATTTGTACTGTCTAGTCCCTTCCCTTTCTCCTTCATCCCCACTCCCTTCTAACTAGCAACCCTCAGTTTTTCCTCTTTGTCTCTGAGACTACCTCCTCTTTGTTTTTGAGCCCACATCAGAGAGATAACGGCATCATCTCTCACATACCAGCCTCAACTGAGCTAAGGAAGTGACACCAAATCTACTCAAGTTGCATTTCTCATTAATTTTGTATACTTAAAAATGCCTATTGCTTACTCGTTTTAAGAAGATCCCTGAGAGTAGTCTAAAAAATACTGAGCAGTGTTAATAGATAAGCTGTGATGCAATAATAAGGAAACTAAGGCTTGAAATAAGCATCTGTGTTCAAAAAATTCATTTATAACAGTCAACAAACTACTATAGACCATCCATGATCTGGCAGGCACTGTTTTAGGCACTAGAAATACAATAGTGAACAAAACAGAAAAAAAAAAATCCTGCCCCCTTGGTGCTTATATTCTCGCAGCAGGTTTCACCAATTCTCTTAGCTTCAATAAACTCTAAAAGAAAAATAATTCCTTTATCACAGGGCTGACTTAACAGATCTGACAATTAAGTTCATGAACTCATCCTAGAAAAACTGCTACATACCACATAGCTAAATACCACTATGGTCTCTTTTGAAGTACTCCGCTTGGGAAGCTATGCACCGACACCAATGCCTAGTCCACCCTTCAAAGAAATTTTGGAACTCTTTTTCTGCAATGGCCATCAGAGCTGTCATCATATTACCCTTGATGTCCTGAATGTCATCAAAATGT